ACGCATTGCTTCAAAGGTATAACGTAGGAGATTGCATAATTTAACTTTAATAATTAATATACACATAATCATCAACGACGAAAATACTGTATCGAAAAGGAAGAATTTCAAAAACTTCTTTTTGTTATACTGAACAGTTTAAAAGGCTGAGTTGATATTAGTGTGTTTAGATTTCTTTCAGAAACTGTCCATTCAAAACGGAAATCATGTTATGAAAGTTGTGTGCAGTTGAATTTGAAAGTAGGAATTGAAAGCATAATACAGAGTTCCCACTCACCACTAGAACTCCGTGTTGTATGATTACTGGTTGTTTGCTAGTTCTGCTACCGCTGCCCTTACCACCACGACCTTCTGGGATCCTTTGCACACTCAGAATATATCCATCATTTGTTGTAACCTTAAAAACATGTCAACACAAAAATGTTTCATTATTTTATCATATGTTGATGTAATTAATATCTCCGAACACGGTTGCACACCATTTACCTCGTGTTCTTGGCACTCGTATCCATGCACAATGACAGAAGAGGAACATAGACCAGAAACCGGAGGGTTAATGTTTCTGCCAAAGGAACCACGGCTTGAAGCATGTGGTTCATGTGGGAGGGTTGTGAGGAGCAAGAAAAAGGTGAAAGCAGCAAAAGTCATTGAACCTTGAAGAGCCATGTTTGTGAGATGGTCTATCTATTAAAGGCGTTGATACGTGTGTGTTTATATAGGGTGTGGGACAAGAAAGAAGAGGAAAGTAATTGTATGAAACTGAAGAAAAAGGGAACACCAAAGGATGGGAAAACGGTTTTTGTTTGATTCTTCACTTTATCTGCTTGAAGACAGGTTCAAATAATAATAAATTAAGGTCCAGATTACAAGAGTTTGTGAGGGGAAAATTGATAGAAAATTAAACTGAAACACATTCAATTAAAAGTATATATAAAATCATATAGACTCTTTTGAAAAAGATTAACTAAAAGCTACTCAAATCAGAAGAGCTATTTAACTGTGGGGGTCCACTAATCTTTGTTAGGGGTAAGAAAAATGGGTTTCAATCAATTCAACAAACCGATGCACTGATTTCTGATACAAATCACTGTTCTGCTCGTAAGTCTGTGTTGAAAAGATCACTTTGGCAGTGTGAAATTTGAAGGGATGCAGAAGCTTGTAGGGATAGAAATATGCCAAAAAAGGAGTGTGGGGCCCACCTAGTGTTTGGGATGTTTTTCACGTCATGGGTTGGGTGTGTGCTTTTATCTGTTTTCTAATGCCATCGATCAATAAGATTGAGAAAAAAAGATGAGAGTGGTGAGTACTGAGAAGGACGTGATCCTTTCACTCGTATGAGGCTTTCTGGATTTAGGTGTGAACAGGAGAAACATTGTTTTTGTGCTTTCCGAAAGGAAAAAGTGTTTCCATTAAAATTTCATTCATGGCAATAGATATTGTGGTCAAATGTTCCAGTTGATGTAGGCAGTCATTAAGGGGTAAAAGGACATTTAATTAAAGCCTTCAAATAATAACGATTTCTTTTTCTTTTTCTGAAGCAATCAATGTATTGATTACTTTTTCACTGAATTTGCTTTGGAAAGACTGACGTTGTCTGATGAGAAGGCATGAAAAGTGGAAGGTGAAAAGTAAAAAGTAAAACCTTTGGTTTTCATTCCTTAAAACCGAAAGAAACAAAGAGAACTTGACAGCAAGTTCAGCATCGACAACATAAAACAAGAAATTTTGCTCAATTTTGATTGACCTCCAAACACTTGGCAGATCAAATTCTCATTAGCTTCTACGCTATCTTTGATTTCGATATGGATTTAGCCAGCAAAATACAGCTATATAAACTCTTTAATTTTATCACAATAAATATTTATTCCGACATCAATTTTTATTTGAAAGAATTATTCCATTTGAGATATTATGATAACTCTTTCGGTCGCGTTGAGATCCATACTTTAAAATATTCAAAATTATTACTTACATAGTTAAGTTACGTTATTTTTTCTTTTTTTTACTTTTCTTTGTCCTAATAGTGAAAAAAATGTCAGCAAAAGACACTCTAACGTTCAACTTAATAAAGATTAGTAATTAGAGTCTCGTACCTATCTTTTTATTATTAGGTCTAACTCATTACTCACCAATAAATGATTATTATTTTTGTTAATTGTCAATCAATTATTATTATTTTTTTAACTATCCATTAATAA